GTACAGCATTTTAAATACAGTGCAGAGCAGTTGACATCTCCACTGTGTTAGAAGAACTGTTAAGTTACATGGTCAGCTAACAAAAATGAACTCTCTTTCACTTTATTTGTACCAAAATTCAGAATGGAGCCCAAAACCTCTGCTGATTTTAAAACAAATCCTCAAGCAACACACCACAAAATACTTCACAGCTGATTTCAGTAGAGCTGGCCAGATGGACATGATGTAAAGATGTGTGGTTTTCTGTGCATTTCCTACCTTAAGTAATTTATAACTGTGTTAGGGAGGTGTCTGAAGGTGATGCCTTTGGCACATACTGAGTGTTTTAGGGTTGCAGAGGAGTTTTGAGTAGGGATCACTGTCACTTTCCAAAATATACTCATGCTTTAGATTCCAGTGTAGTATAATTTTTCTTGCTCTTCTGAATGTGACTTTGTTTTTCAAAGTGAAGCGAGATACTTTATGTTGTGCTTTGGTGGTTTTTTTTTTGTTTGTTTGTTTTTTTTTTTTTACCCTAATAACATTAAGGTTGTAAAGTCTATTGTTTTCCTACTTAAAAAGTAAAAAGCCTTAGCTACAGCTTTAACCAGTACTCAAGGGAAAACCAGATTTAAATGGAAAAGTAATGTCACATCAAAGTAATCCTTCCATCTGATCTGAAGTACGGAATTGATTTGTTTTAGGAAAGCTATAAACTTTTCAGAATTGAAGCCCAGGCATGTACAGTGGAAGGTCTTGGTCAATAAGTACATGCATAAGATGATGATTTAAAGAGAGGTGTTGTGGGATGCAGATGCTTCACATCTATGACGTAGAGTTCAAGTCTGTCAGAGGGCTCCCATCATGGTCAGGGGTCTGGAACACATGTGGGAATAGAAAGCTGGGTTTGTTCAGTTGTAGGAAGAGAAGATTTAAGGCAGATCGTACTGCTGTCTTCAACTGTCTCTTGGGAGGAAATGAAATGGAAGCAGATACTTGCAGGCACACGGTGATATGCTGAAAAGTAATGGACTCAAGTTGGAACATGGAAAATTCTCATGAGAGATAATTTTTAAATTTACTCATTTTTTTACCACAAAGGTGGTCAAATATTAGAAAAGGAGCCCTGAAAAGTTGTGGGACCATCTGTCCTTGGAGATACTTGAAACTTGCATGGATGTAGTTTGACCTGCTTTAAGGGGAAGGTTGAACTAAAGTTTCCTTCCAAACTAAATAATTAGTTAGGAATAAGAGGCAGCTTGGGAAAAGCAGGTAGGGAAGTCCTAGGGAGCAATTAGCAAGATCAGTTGCTGAAATTATGCTGTTGGTGAGTTCTCTTCCCTCATTCACAAATGGTGCTTTTTCTTTGGTGTGCAAATGGCTTTGTTCCTTAACTTCAAGGAGGAGTTTGCCCTTAAGGTTGTCTCCCTATTGCTGATGGGCAGTGCACATACAAAGTAGAGGCAATTTCTGCAGCCCTGTGGAGTGCTCTCCGTCTCTGGGGTGAGAGGTGTGGTGCATAGCCTGCATCTCAGCAGTGTTCATGCACTGTGGTGCTCAGTCACTACTGCGTTGCTGTGTTCCTCCCCTCTTCTTTTTCTCCTGGAGAGAGGGTATTTTGCATTAAGATGAAAGAGATGAGACAAACTAAAATTAGTTGAGATATTAAAGACTTCAAGATACTACTAATCAGTTCTAATTTAATCTCAGCACCCAGGCATGTATAGTACTGAAAACTTTTATTAGTCTTCTTTATAAATGTGTTAAAAGTGATACCCCCAGGCTAGTATTGAAGCAAGCGGAATTGCCAAGCTCTGTGCAGTACTGACCTGATAATACTGCTAGGGGAGTGGGGTTTGCTCTTTGCGGGTCTTTTAATGCTCTGTGTTTTACATCAGGCTTCTTAACTGTCCTGAGCTTAGTGCTGTTTCTATTTGAGTGCCTTCTGCATCATTTTGGCTCTGGACCAACAAAAAATAATCTTCAGACTCCTGCAGTATTCTTCGGAGAAGATAGCTGGGTGGGAAATCCCAGGAGTGCAGTTCCAGCTGAGAGATCCATATTCTTCTTAAAGCTTTCTGGAGGAGATGCAGGTTCCTGTGGTGCCTCGGTTCAAAGGGAAATGCTAGGCACAGCACTGATAGCCGTGCATAGCTTCCTTGCCAGGACCGGCATGTAGTCACCATGGAGCACTTTGTCTTTCAAACCCTTTTGATACAGGTCTGAGCTTTGCAAAAGCCTTTCAAACAAAAATTCAGAGAAATGCTGTAAGGAGAAATGTTCTGAATAGCAGCAGCCTGGCACTGCAGATGCTGAGTAGCATTTACAACCCCTCTGCTCAGACATATTTGCAAGCTGACTTAGTTGTTCAGCAGTCTGTACTGTAATTTCACATACGCTTTGTGGTGCCAACTCAGAGCAGTGGTCCTTCCCTGACCCCCAGTTCCTTGTGACAGAACAAACATATGTTCATGGGGTGAGCTGGATCAGGGAACCAATCCAAGTTAAAATCAGCCTGGCCAAGAAGCTAATTTCAACCTGGGACAGCTTCTCTGGCAGATAAGAGCAGGCGAGTGTGCCCAGCTGGTGAGGAGCCCTCAGCCCCTCCTAGTGCTGCTTTTAGCAGCCTGCTGGCTTATGCCAGTGTGTGGTGGTCTCATCTCAAGGGCTTCAGTCAGGGTTTAGGACTTCAGATTTGAGTGGGCAGAGTTTGTTGTTTTCTATTTTTGAGATTGTATTGAAGTGTGAAACAAATCCACCTCCAAAATGGTATTCTGAGTGAGCCCAGTCTGTGATAACTTTGGTGTTTATTTGTGAACTGATATAAAAATGTAGGTAAATGGAAATATTTCACTTTGGTTGTGACCTTTTTGACGTAAATTAGCTGCCCTTTCCAATGACAGTTGTAAATCAGAAGCAACATTTTCAAGTCAATGAGATATTTCAACTCTCGGTGTTTTTATTTTTTTCCCTGGCAGGGGAGATTTATTGAAGCTCCTCCCAGCAGTTTTCATCTCAATGAGCTGTTGACCTGGAGCTGGCCCTGAGCAGAGCCTGATTGTTTGGATGTTTCTCTACTGATTTCTCAGTGTGCATCCTTGTACCCTTTTGTTTCTCATCATTGTCAACTGTACGTGGAGTCTTGCTATGTGTTAACCTGCAAGGCCAGATGATGGGGATTAATGCAGTGTAGTTGCTCGTTAATATTTCAGTCTCAAGGCCTGGTCTGGGCACTCCGCGGTGGCCTGGCTGAAATCTTCTGGAGGAATATGGCCTTTTGGAGAATTAGGGCAGTTTCCATCCATTCGTGCCCTCTAGCCCCCGTTGTTGCTGTGTGGGGAGGAATTGCTGGCAGTGTTTATGGTGATTTCGAAGCAGAGATCCCCCTGGGCCCAGGAGGGTGTCGGGCTGCCCCAGCCCTGGCAGCAGGGAGGGTGCCAATGCCTTGCTGCGGCTTTGGGCCCAGGCTCCTGCTGGGCTGCCACCCTGTGCTGTCAGGTGTTAAAATGGCCGTTAAAACCGTTGGCGGGGTGGGAGTGGGGAGCTTGGCACCTGCAGCCCATGTCCACCTTGAGGTGGAGGGAAGGAAATGCCTGAAATATGCTGGCGCTAGGCTTCCTGCTGCGGTGTTCTTACTTGAACATTTTACTCAGAAATTGCATCCGAGATACCTGCTTCTTAATCCTATGTGACTGTTTTGGCTATGGTATTTTTTTATTGATGCCTCTGGTTTTGGATTTACTTGCTGTTTTTCCTTCCCTTCCTAAAATATGTATTTGTGAGGCACCAGAACATATTAATCTGTAGTCTGTAAATGCTCCTTTCTGGAACTTTCTGGCACCTGCAAATCCCATGGTGTAGACCCTGAGTGTCCATCACAACTCTGTGATGTAAGTTTCCTAATTAAAGACACTAAACTTAAACACATACAAAGATGGAATGATTAAAAAAAAACCAAACCAAAACAAAAACAAAAAAAAAAAACACAACCAAAAACAAAACCGAAAAACCCAACCAAACAAACCAAAAATTTTTCCACAAAAATTAAGTTTTTAATCAACTTTCAACTTTCCCTGTAGTTATGAGGTGGGAGTGATTTCAGTGCCTTTACATTTTTACATTACATATAGGCATGCTAGAACTTGGTTTCAAAAAACTCAAGGTTACTGTTAAGTAGATGCAGAGCTACTAAATTTAAAACCAGTTATTTTTGGTTCAGGTGAATACTTGTTGACTTTCACTACAACTTAAGCCTAGACATTGAAATAGCAGTCTGCCTTCCCAGTGATGGTAGGTAGCTCTGGATCTCTCCCCATGTGAACTCAGTTTCTTACCTCTGGCCCTAGACAACTAAACTCAGTCTGCAGAAATCGATTCTATTTTTGTGGTAACTAATGCCTCTTGTTTTGTTTTGATATCTAATTCATATGGGAGCAAAACATGTTAAAATTAGAGAGAAAAGGGTTGAGGGGAGGGAAGCCACTTCATCTACCATAGCTTTTAGGAAGCTCAAATGCCTTTTTTTCTTTTTGGGTGAGTTGCTTAGGAGTTCAAAGATTTTTGAGAGGCTTCACCTAGTGTAAGAGGTGAATAGGTGGTTCCTTGAGGCACTACACAGGTGAATATTGGATCCTAATTTGAGGCAGGGTTTTCACTTAGATGTTCAAGCTATGATGCCCTTAGCACAAGGTGTACAGTGGAAATGTTGCCCCTTTGGATGTGCATCTTCAGTGATTCTGCAGTGCCTTTGACTGTGTCTAGATGATTTTGTGCCCAATACTCTTAGCAGTGTAAAATAAGCTAGCAGCTGATAATGTGATGCTATTCAAATTTAGGTGAAATGGTCATAAATTAGTGTCCTTGAGACAATAACTAGGTTTCACAGTGTCATTCCTTGTGGGTTGTGTTTTGTTTCAAAATTTTAAACATGGTGGCTGTTTTGACATCAGGAAGTATTATATATTTTTATGGTCTAAGTTGGAAGGTTTTCTAATTAATGTGTTTTTCTTGTTTGCTTTAAGAGTCAGATTTACAGATCTGCCAACACAGAGCACCAACGTGTTGCACCAAAAAAATGGAAGAAAGCTACCAGGCAGCTGTTCGAAGGGAGAGGACTCAAAGTATCCAGGCACTGAACTTTGAACTGAAGTACATGATTGTTGGTCATATCACAGCTTTTCAAGGTAGGAACTTTTGAGGTACTGCAGTCCTCTGAGTACTTGATAAAAGTATCCTCTGCAATCAAAAGGAAAAGCTCTTTCCTTTGTTTTTAATTTCTCTTGCATCACATGCTATAGTCACTGGTTTATGGTTTACTTCTCTGTTCTTTGATGATCCTGCTTTTGGAAAAAGGTGATGGCACTTAATCTTGACTGGTATTTTAAGCATCTGCCAACCTCTAATTAGGAATAGATTTAAGCTTACACCTTGTTCCTGACATTGTTTTAAGAAAGACTGGCATGGATTTTTTCCAAGGGATTTTCAAATGTCATCTAGGTGCCTGATGGTGGTTTGTGTTTTTTGATAGTCTCATGTGTTGCCAAACCATTCACAGGTGTAGAAAGTTACATGGAAATGCATTTGTTTTTTGATGCTGAAGAATAAGTAATCTAACTGATATGTGAAACAAGATCACAGCTCTCTGTGTGTCAAAATGTTTAACTAGCTGGCAGGTCACATGAAGAGTGATCTGTTTTCAAGAATTATGGCCACACAGTTAAGTGTGAATGCATGAAAGAACCTGCACTGAAAATCTGTTCTCATAACTCTTTCTGTTCTCAAAGCTACCTTGCTCTAACAGGTTGATGTAAGTCTATGTAGCTTTTTCATACAGATGGTTTTTGTATTATTAAAGGGAGGAAAATGCTTCTGTAGGATTGTGTGCTCCACAATGTTAAGCACTGGAGACTTTTCTCCAGAAGGGCATTTAAACATAGTCTGTGAACTTTAACTGTATGAGAGTTGAGTGATTAAATCAATCACTGAGTGATGAATCTAGCTTGCTGACTTCTGTGGGCCTAATTATGTGCTTAATTTTAACTCACTGCTTTGCTATGTTTAGTTCTGAGCACCCTCATGGAATGGGTTTTGAAAACAAGCCAGTAGTTATTAAAATACAAAGCATTGAGGCCTATATGATTAAGCCTATTGTTACAAGTCAGTTTTTATCGAATAGTAGCTTTTTTGTCTAGTTTCTTCCATTTGAGTGAAAACACTTTAAATAAAAGATGTGATTGACAGTTTAAGAGATAGCATATTATTTAAAATTGACAATAAGCAATGGTGGAAGCCTGAAAGATGTGTAAGGGCAAGATAAAAATTTTCTTCTGCTTTTGGTAGTTTACCTCTCTTTACTCTTTTCTGTACCATTGTGTGAAAAATGGCATTTTGTTTTATTTTACAACTAATTTTTGAAAATTTTTCATATCTTCCATAGTTAAAAAATTTGGTTGTAGGGCACTTTGGAGAAGCACTGTAGTAAAAGGGGTGACTATTGGCATTGTTAAATGCTGGTAAGTTATTCAAGCAGTCTTTCAGTATCATGATTGAATAAAGCTAAGGTCAGAATAGATTAACCTACCAGCCCCTTTAGGTCAAGCCAGCGGCTTTATTGTCCATTGCTGATGAAGCCTTTTGATGGAATGAAAGAAGTAGTTAGACATTTCACACAGTTTAAATTTACAAGCATTTTCTGGAAGTGGGTAAATAGGTTGTTTGTTGTAACTTGTTGTAGCTGGCCTTCTGTCAACTTTAGGTGGGAACACTTGAAAAATGTAACTTTTCTCTTTTGCATTGGGAGCTGCCTTTGTGCTTGGGTTTTGTCCCAGGTGTCAGCGAAAAGCCTCTCTTTATCTTGTGCTGTATAAATGTTCTGTTGCCAAGAGTAGTACTGTGTGAGACATCTACTGAGAGGGAACATCTTTGCATTGAATTAACTCTGTCCTTTTGGTCTGTTTTGTTGTTATTTTGAATGATAAAGTGTGAGTGTGCCAAAAGCACATTTAAAATCTGAGAAAAGAAATATCCTTGTTTTAGAAGCTTTCAGGTGCCTCTCAGATTTCATGTTTCTTGGAGCAGTGAGAACTGGCTCAGACTTGCTAAAAAAATAGCAATTTATTAATTTGTATGTGGTGGTGTTTACTTGTAAAATTTTCATGCACAATTTACTTTCTTTTATATATACACATTTTTAGTACTGTTAGTGTAGTCAAAGCCAAGCAGTCGTTAATCTTGATGCCTACTGCTGAGGAAAAAAAATCTTAACTGCTTTTTATGTGCTTCTAGCAGACAATACCGTTAATATTCTACTCATACTGATGAAATAATTTTCAAGACTAATACAGTGTAAGAAACAGATTTTCAGGACTCCAGCTTTGAGAATATAGTGGTGGGAATTAAATTTCAGTGGGAAAACAGAGCAACTTTTTTGGAGGGGGGTATGGGGGGACAAAGAGAATTTTTAAGTTTTCATCTCCTTATTTTCTTTCATGAAATTCAAAAGACACTTAGTTCTGAGGACCTGCAATTAGATATCACAAGTATTAATAGAACAGCTTTCTCATGTGAGTAGGAATTTTGATATGAGTACAATTAAGTATTCCCTCTACACTGCCTGGGTACTGCAGTTGACTGTGGACATGTTGGACTTGAAGAGATTTTGTTTTGTTTTTTCTTCTTGAAATTGAAAATGTTATTTAAGTAGCTTTGTCCACAGCTGAAATAAGACAATTTTCACAGGTGCTGGATTAGTTGTGCAAAATAATTAGTCTGTAAGACTTGATTAAATATACCCCAGCTGCGGGCAGGCTTGTTATATTTGGGCTAATGCCCAATCTGTACATATGGACAGTTTTAGCACTATGGTTCAATCCTGCTATTTTCCCCCTTTAAAGCTTTAAATATTGGCAACCCAGTTCTTGCTCAAACACTGAATAAATCCAGCTTCTGCATGGATGTATTTTACTTGAACTCCTGTCTCTCATGCTCTTGCTGCTACACCTGGTTTGAGTAGGAAGAGACACACTGTCATCAGCTGTGGCCTGTAAACTCTCCTCCCCATTAGTACCAGGACGGGAGGATAGAGGCAGGAATGAAAGGGCCAGCTGGCTGCTTGGGAAGCACATCATCAGAATCAGCTCCTGCAAAATCATACATTGTCACAAAATCTTTTGGATGTTTGGCATGTTGTATGTAATCAGGCCTCTGGGGCAGGGTTTTGTGGAGAGCTGCTGGATTCACTTTCCCTTAATGTTCTGGTCCATGGTGTAGCCTAAAAGTCATAAGCATGGCATTAGTCACTCTACAGATGTGTTATTAATGACTCTCTGCTCCAAATGGAGTCAAAGGCAAGGTGGAGTGAGAGGATGAGATGTGTAAGCATGCCAAACTGTAATAGGAGCAGCATAACAGAGGAGAAGGTGACTGTTGTAATGATCCTAGTAAGTCACTCTCTGGCTCTTCAGGTGGCCTTGTTTTGGATGCATTTTGGTGTAGGGTCAGTTTATCTCATCCAAAGATGTGCCTATCTTTCTGTTTTTGCTCCTGTAGTTGCAGCCTGGGATACCCAGCAGAACTATTTAAATGAATGATCGAACAGAATACTCTCATTTTGTAACTCGCTTTCCCCTTTGATAGCCAGAAGATTCTCCTTTGAACTTACTGTTTTCTTTGTCCAAACCTTTTTCTAGGCTTGCATGTAAACAAATGCATTGTTGTAGCTTATTGATGTCTTTGTGGTGATACTACATGTTACTTGGCACAGCCATCCTTCTATTACTCCCTCCAATTCCCTCATGCAGTCCCTGCACTCCTCAGGGACACTTCCAAGCAAGGCAACTGATTCATTGTTAGTGGATTAAAAGTGGCGTGGGTGTGCAGACTGAAAGTTGCTGTCAGAAGAGGTATCAATAGTCTGACAGGAGAGCTTTGTTGTGGGCAGGCAGCAGAGAGAAACCTGGCCTCCCTCTTCTGTGTCCTTTATGGAGTGCTAACAGGTGCCATGTAAGGGCCCACAGAAAGCTTGGCTCTGCTCCTGTCATCTTATGCTGAGGCTAATTTGAGGTAATGAGAATCCAGACACTGATAATTTATTTGTTCTGCTGATGGTCTCTGCAGAGAGGCAGAACAAGATAATTTTGAAGCCTGCATCACATTTCAGTCACCAAGTTAGCAGGTATCAGAGATAAAGTGAAAAGCTTTGTTTGAGCTCTGCAGTTTTTTAAAAAAATTACTATTCTTTGCTGTACTTTTTGTTTTTACAGACAGTACGAATTCTTCACTCACAGCCTCTGAAGAGAAAGTTCTTTCATGAATGAAAGCATGTTAGTCATAAAGCAATAATTTTGTGTTTCTCTGAAATAGCATTCATTTGACCTTGGGGAGGGTCAAACAGTGGGGCCAGGTATTCCCATATTCTCCCAGCTATAGAAGGGTAGAGTAGCTTTGTAGCTCTCTGTGCCTCTCACTCCCAACTCGAGGGGTTTGGCAAAGCTATGATTATGTTTTGCTTTATAAGGAATGGGGAGATGCTAGCTGGGAGAGCTCCTTGCTATTTCTAATAGCAGGAGTTGCAGTGACATCACTGTGCACACACATTATTTTGCCCTGTTATCATCTGATCCAAGCAGGCAACTGTGAAGGACACGAATGGTATGGGGTGGAGGGGGAAACCTAGTTGTAGCAGGGATGGAGCCCAGGACTCCTAGTTGTCAATAAAATGCCTGAAAGTTATTGCTCAGTTGATCCAAAAGGTCTTTAAACACAAAGTTTTTGATCTGGCATCATTGCTGGTGAATGGGAAGGGTTGGCTGGTTTCTGTGGGTCTTGGGATGGATACTGTTACTGGGTCCGAGTAATTGACAGACCTGAATGTTCCCAAGAATAAGTAGTACAGTACACAGGCACTCAGAAACACTTGCCATTTTTTACAGTTGGAAAGCCAAGTGTAGCCTGGGCTGCATCAAGAGAAGTGTGGCTAACAGGTCAAGGGAGGGGATTCTCCCCCTCTGCTCCGCTCTGGGGAGACCCCCCTGCAGTGCTGGGTCCAGCTCGGGGGCCCCAACAGCAGAAGGACACGGAGCTGCTCGAGCGGGGCCAGAGGAGGCCACGGAGATGCTGGGGGGGCTGGAGCAGCTCCCCTGGGAGGCCAGGCTGAGAGAGTTGGGGGGGTTCAGCCTGGAGAAGA